TTTTTTTTTTTTTTTTTTTCATATTGCCCAGGCTAATAACAAATTCTGTATCCGTCACTGCTTATACTCCCTTCATTCAACTATTTTTCTCACCTTCCCACATGTTTAAGATCATCACCATCATCACAAACAATATCTCACATCTTTAACAATACATCATATATTTATCTTTGTGCTCCCTTCAAATATTTTTTTCACCTTCCCACATGTTTAACATAATTATCATCATCACAAACAAATATTGTTTACTATATCGGACATTCGATAAAATGAAGAAATACATAGAAAAAACATCATGGTTGCTTGGATACAGATTTGTATTCATATATCTAATAAATTTTAATCAATCACTTTTCATCTCAAAACCTTACACAAATTTAACTCATTTTCACTCTCGTTATTATCTATATATATATAATTGTTAGCTAATCGTTAAATAAAACCTCATAAATAAAACATAATTAATAAAACATCATTTATTTTCCCTCCAAAAGAAGTTACAAAATTTGTCATTTATATTTTGTTTTTCACATTAATACACCCTTATTAAGTGTAATCATGTAAAAAAATTAATAGCATTAACTATTATATAATATAATAGCAAAAAAATAGCATTAACTACTATTATAATAATAATAATAATAATAATAATATTAATAATAATAATAGTAATAATAATAACAATAATAATAATAATATCTTGAAACAATAAAATTGTTTATACTTATGTAATTTATATTAAGTGTGAAATATTATGAGTTGGTAATAGCATTAACTATTATATAATATAATAGCAAAAAAAATACATGATTACACTTAATAGGGTGTATTAATGTGAAAGACAAAATATGAATGATAAATTTTGTAACTTATTTTGGAGGAAAAATAAATGAGGTTTTTTTAATTAGGTTTTATAAATACATGATTACACTTAATTAGGTTTTATGAATGATATTATTATTATTATTTTAATTTTATATTTCATGTAACAATTTTCTTTAAAAATAATTAGTAAATAGTTTTAATAATATAGTAAAAAAACTTTAAAATCTTATAAACATGTCGCTGTAATAAGAATAGGAATAATAATAATTATAATAATAATAATATAATAATAAAGTTTTAGTAAATTATTTAACCATGATACCTCCAAATTATAAAAATTACATTACCCACAATTTTTTTAATCAATATAGTGATTCATATGTACTCAAATAATTTATATAAATATTATTTTATTTTTCCTAATGATTAAATCTTGAAAATGTGGTATGTCCATTATCTATAATTTTAATATTAAATTCACATATCTTGAAAATGTGATATGTTTATTATCTAGAATTTTAATATTAAATTCACATATTTTGAAAATGTGATATGTTTATCATCTTATAATTTTAATTTTAAATTCACACATATTACTTATAATATTTTATGTACATCTGTGCATGTGCACAGGATGATAACTAGTTATGAGAATAATTAAATACCAATTAATCATCTTCACATAATCGCATCAACTTTAATTCACGATTCATCAAATCATATAACTATACATCATTTCCAATAACCTATCTCCTAACCAAACCAACTTATTTAAAATTAACTCTGGTTAACCAAAAATTCCAACCAAAACTCAATCATATTTTTATCGAATCACCCTCTCAAATTTCCGACTGTAGTTGCTTCCAGTGAAACATCTTCACCTATCAGTACACAGGTCTAAGAAAACTGGCTTTCAAGACCCAGAAACACAAGCAGGATAAAAGTACAAGTCGTATACTCAGATTACTATAAATATACAATGTATTTAGTTACTTTTTCACCAGTCCAAAGCAACTCTGCCCCTAAAGTATACAAAAGCTCACAATCATCCCAAAAACAATCCTCGGTAGCTGCAAATTATAGCCATCCTTCAGCAACCTACAAGCACAACAGTCGCCCTAATAAAAGTACATGAAAACCTTATGCTTAATTTAACTCAGATAAATTCATTGAAAATAGTGAGGTTAATGAAAATTATTGCTCTCCTAAAATTTATACACAGCTAGGAAGCACCCAGAAAATATATTTATATATATATAATCCATTCAGAGTCCATTATTACTGATGGCGACCGACCAACTCTTCATGTAAACGACTAAACACCAAGTTAACAGGTATACACGCGACCGTCGTGCGTGTATTCCCATTCTTAATCAAACCACCACCTCTCGAGTCACTCTGACACTTCCCTGATGCAAATGACGAAAGTGTCCTTATCTTTTGATTGGAGCCCTTGTTCGCAAACTCTCTCCCCTTCCCCTCACCATTAAGCATTGATGGCAAAAAAGGGCGTGGAACTCGTGAATTTGCAGTCCTACGACCCGTCCTCCACATTGAAGTCAGTGGGGTCGGGCTGGGGACAAAATAGTCAGTTGATGAAACATAGGTTTCGGTCAGGCCATTCTCAAGTGCTTCGATTTGGATAGGGTGGCCCACAATGGCATGCCCGTTCAACTTGCTCATCAATGAGATTATCGGGACATCTCTACGGTAGTTGTTTGCCTGAACCTTTAAATTCACATCTATCAATGTGGGCCCACCACAGCCAAAACGATGGCGTCCGACAAAATCATCACGCGAATCGTCCCAATACCCTCGCACAGCAGATCGACTGTTCCAACCCAAGCTACCCTCGAAATCGACAAACTCGTAAGGACTGTGAGATGACTTGGGCCCATATCTGGATGTATGATTCTTGAAACTTCGATCAGCATGTTCGGGAACACTAGGGCTCCAGTTGGAGCTCTTGCTGTTCGTGTATCCTCTGCTATTGTTTGAAAGATTGCGGTTATTTCTTTTTCCTTTGTGCTGCCATTTTGAAACCCCAGACTTGGTTGGTACATGGCCATGCAGGTAAGGGTGAGAGGAACTGTCGGCAAATGCCAACTCGTCAAAGTCGTCACTGCTGCTGATGCTTGCATGTTCTTCTGGTGCTTCGGTTCTTCTCGGGTATTTAGGTTGCAATTCTATAGAGGCGGAACCATCTGCAAACCCAGAAATGCAGTAGCCGGATAGTGGGAACTTTGAAGTTATAATTAAAAAAACGGCCATTAAGGGTAATAAAATAACTCCGGCACGGATATCAGATGAAATAAACACATTAAAGAGTTAAATGAAGAGTAACGAGAGGAAAAAACAAAAAGAATCAGATAAGGAAAAACACTGAGCAATGAGAAATAGCCCACCAACAATACAGAAGTCCATTAAAAAGGATCAACAAAAACTCTTGGAATTGGATTGAAAGCAAAATTGAATGTTATTAGTATACATATATAGTTATGTGCAACAAATCATGCAAGTACAAGCATAAAGCAAAATTATGAATGAAGCAAAATAGGATAAGAGAGCCCAACTTTTGAAGGATGATAACAACGCCTTCAAAAAAAACATGATGACCACAGAGATTAGACAATGTTGCTAACTAAAAAAGAGAAGACAGCAGAAATCACACCAGAGATTGCAGTCATCTCGTCATTTGAGTCTGATTCTAGTGAATCCGTGTCAGAACAATCCGTTTCAGTATCTTCAGTAGATCCTGAAATGTGGTTTTCACCCATGTCAGCTTGGTAGCTGCTTTCATCAATTTTAGACACTGGTATCTCTAACTGGGAGGACAAAGTTTGGTCATCAATTAAATATTCCACAGAATCATATGGCAGATAAGCATTTCTACTCCTCTTAGCTCGAAATGCAACTCCTGAGAGCTCCTCTCCTGAGAGATGGAAACAGAACAATAATGTAACCTGAAAATCCAGAAATCTGACACAAGTTTCAGTACTAAAGCAAGAGGGGTGTCAGTAATTGCCCTCTGATGGGAGATTCAGGGAATGATTGGTTGCTATTTCGTTCATTAAGCAATTCTCTATCATTTTTGGGTTTTTTTCTTTCAAAACTACGTATCCCACGTTCACTTTTTCTCGCGACAATCAGACAACAGAAAATCGATAATACACATTTTCCCATGAATATTACCATCCTTTCCCATGAATTTTACATTCCAAACCCTCACAAATTTCAAACTAATGATATTTTTATCATCGTTCAACTACTTTTATACCACTTCATTCCATTTCCATCTCAATGATAATCAAACTCCAAATTCATAGCTTATTTTTTCAGAAACCATCAATATTATCTAGAAAAAA